CTCCATGTCCATCGCTGCCATAATCTTTAGTGCGTTTAGACCATTTTGAGCCCTTGTCACAACGCACTCTATGTGATCCCTGAAAAACAAACTTCTGTCAAAGGTGATTTCCGGGTACCGCAGTCTGCTGTCTCTTTTATGTCCCTGCCATTTATTTTGAGTCTGGGAACATCAGCTCCAACAATCCTGTTGTCCAAAGAACACCACAGGACGGTTGCCTTTTCTCGGTTGATTTCAGCACTTATCTCTGTATACCTGTCAATCACCTTATCTACAGTTGCCTGTAACTCTTTAGCTTTTTAATTCCGATCTCTCCCCCTCCTATATACAAGAACAGCATCTGCAAATGTCAATATTTTGCCAACTCCAGGTATTTTTTGTGAATATAATACAGCACATAACCGAACTTTCGAGCCAATCCAACATTGTCAGCAAATATCGCGTCACGTGACCGTAATTCCTGCAGTTGAAGGATGTTGTGAAAGCTGCGTCATTTGCTTGTCTGTCAGTTCGTTCATACACGAATAATGTACTCAAGAATTAAACGGACCGGCATGTTAGGTATGTGGGTATTTAGTAATAAATACTTCATTGTGATGTATCTGTTATCTGTCATGTAAAAACGAAGGTATTTACTGCGCGCATTTATAGATAATAGTCTTGGGTTCAGAACCCGGTTCGAATCCGCATTGAGTCACCCTCGAGGTAAACAACATTTTTACAGAACTGACCAGATCAACCTAACATAATATGGGTATTGGGTAATGTTTATAGAAAAAAAGCGTTCGGTGTGATGATGACCGCATACCCACCAAGTGCTGATTTTTCTGTAAAAATTTGAGTAGCATTGTATGCCTTATGTGTAAAAAAAAAAAAAAAAAAAGGTCCTTGCCAAAGTGTAGTGACTAGACACTTGCCTGTGGATCCGAAGGTCATGGGTTCAGCTCCTGACATAGCCTGACTTTAATGACCTTGGCTGCTAGGTCGACCCACTTGTATACGGGTACAAGGTACAGCCCTGGGAAGTAAAGTCAACCAGTGTGAGGTTGAGTACATCACCCGCTGAGTGCCGATTGGTCTGTAAAATATAGGCCGAGTTCTTTATGCCCAAAACACATGAAGGCTTGGAAAAGGGTCCTTTACTTACTTACTGTATTTCAGGCAGTCATGTTTCTCAACAAAATTATGCCCTAAGTGTTCCGTATAAAAACGCTTTGTAATGCCGGGGTGCCGGGTTTGATCTCAGCTTTGCGTTGGTTTCGATAGTGGTATAATGGGGCCGATCGTCCAGAAAGCAATGTCAAACTACTGGACGTAAATTTGCCTAGAGAAACCACACAACAGCCAGGGGCTGCTGGGGTTGGTTCTGCAATGTTCTGGATAAGATCTACAACTCATGGCCTTCCCTGTCATTCTATCAAACGAAAAAACCTCCAGCATTGTTACCTTTTGCTGAACTCTTATTTCTTCTTCTTCTTCAGCGATCTCTGGTCATGCGCATAATCCACTGTTGGTCATAAACTGGGATGTCTTTTCAAGGTCTCTTAGGTTTCCCCAAAGCTTAGTTGTCAGTTCTACTGGGTGTTGCCATATGTTGCTCCGCAGCTCCGCCAGGAGAGGACAGTCTTGCAGGACATGTTCTGGAGTCTGTTCAGCACAAAGGAACTAGCAAAGAGCTGTTTGGCTCATACCTAATTTATATGAGTGTTTATTCAGTCTGCAGTGTCCAGTACGTAAGCGAAAAACTGTGACTTGGTCTGTTCTGTTCAAGTGTTTCAGAAAATCTTTTTCGTAGTTATAACCAGTGTTGGTTTTCCAATCTGTTTCTGATTTTCTCTTAATGAGAGTTTTGACTTCTGGAAAAGATAGTTCCTAGTAGGTCTGTGGTTTGTTACTGCCTTACTTGGCTAAAGCATCAGTGCTTTCATTGCCTTTGATGCCACAGTGAGATGGAATCCACTGCAAGTGAATTTATGCCTTTTTTGACAACATAGCAAGTTCCTTTGTTAGACTTTGTAGTGTGCTGTCAGTAGGTTTGGACTCAAGGGGCTGTATAGCTGACAGTGAGTCAGTGAGAAAAATACCCACAAAATAGCAGTTCATGATCATGAAACAGAATAATCTGAGAGAATTGACAGCCAGTGAAAATAAACCAGCTGCTGTCTGCCATTTTGAAAACGGAAGTCCGAACTCTTGTTTCTAAAACTCATACTCTTGTTGGTTGCCATAACCTTCTTCTGACATTGTCTTCTCATAACATAACCCAAACAGGATGACTATCTTATGTTGATGTACACTGGACTACAGATGACTTGGTAGCTGTTTTGTTGTGCCCTAATAAAACAGTGCTGTTTGGCGATACAGATGAAGGGGGTTTCTGTGATTTGTCCAGTGCCATCTCAGTATTAAAGACTGGCTGCAGTGGATCTTTAACACTCTTGTCCTTGTTGTACACTTTCTCAGACTGCTTTGTCTTTTTCTCAACATTATCAAGGAAAAACAGTTGAAGACTGGAGACGGAGCCTTTTTAGTTTCAGTGCCAAAAAAGACAAAACCTCCAGGAGGGGGATTTTCGGCTATCCTCCGAATAACGGGCACAAAAGATGGCGGCCACCAAATATCCTGACAAGCCTCAGTCACGTGTCATGTGTAATAAAGATTCAAAAATTGAAGTCAAAACTAATAAAGAGCCTCCCACACGAGCAAATAAAATGAGGACGCTGTAGAAGATGCGGTAGCTGCTGCTCATGGGTCCCAGCCATCTAGTTTAGCTTCATCCGCGCCGTGCGTAGCGGCGCAGGGGAGACTCTCGGCGGCGAGTTTAACTCGGCAGTTTGTTCCGTGTCTCGAAATTGTCAACAGACACTAATCCTAGTTTTTCCCGCCATGTGCTCGTGACCGCAAGTGCGCAATTAACACGTGACTGAGGCTCGTCAGGATATTTTGCGGCCACCATCTTTTGAGCCCGGTATTCGGAGGATAGTCAGATTTTCATAGTTTATACACCCAAAATTATAAAAAATAAAGCATTTAATAACATATACAAAACTATACATATTCATGTAGGAAATTGAATGAGCTAACAGAATATTATGAATCAAACTGAAATCACAACATTTATTCAAATTAACTATTCTGATTTGCATAATTTATGCAAGCATTTGTTTAAAAACTTGAAAACAAACAAGACTAACCTAAAAAATGTGGGTGAATATTTTTAATAAATGAAGCTGGAATAAGTCCTAACACTTGTGTTTTGGGAAGTAAGGCCCTTGGAGGCCCTTTAGACACTTCTGGCATATACTTGTACTCATTTTCCTGCCTCCAGCTATGTTTTGGTTGCTTTGATGCAACAGTCCTTTTCGCTATTGTTGGGCACAAGTAACCCCAGAAAACATTGTATGTAAAATTACCTAACATGTCAGACTTTCTTGAAAGCCATAAATGAATAGCTAACATGAGCAAGAAATGTGAGAAGCAATCTGATTGGCTAATACAAAAACCTGCCAGCCAATCTCAAGGTTTGTATTACATAGGGCTGACAGATCGGCCCAGTCGTCCTTTCAACTACTTTGTGTCGGGCCGATATTTCGGCCGCATCGTTTCCAAAGGGTAAACACAAATTTGCTTAACCCTTTCAGTACCAAGAAACGCAGCCTATGTTCGTAGGTTCTTACTTAGAAGCCCAATGATTGCAAGATTAACTGATTTTATGTCTCCGTTCGCTACCTCTTAGGCCTCTGATGCTAAACTCCCTGTGACTGAAAGAGTCTGAAGAACATTTGGTTAACACAAACACAATTTTGGCCCCAACAAGGATGTATTATTTCTTGTAGACAGTTTTATCGGTTAACTCGCATTTCTTTTAACACGAGCTACAAACAGTGTTTTAGTCTCTTGCATCACTAGATCTAATTCAACCCAAACTTCCACAGCTTTTCATATTGTTTTCTGTTTTTCCTCTGCTAAGTATGTAAGAAATGATGTTGAATTTTTGTTATTTGGGTGCTTCAACTAGAAGTTATTGTTTTTCAAATTAACATTTCTTGTTGCAGTCGCTCGACAAATGTAATGATTATGTCAGTGGTCAGCTTATATCCTAATCAACTGATTCACTTCAGTTAAGTGTTAAAATTACAGTAATGTAATTTAATGTTATTGATTTGTTTCCCTATTCTTTAAAACAATGCCAGTACGAGTAACATCAAGGTTAAAACTTGTAAGCAGTAAGACAGGAGTCAGCAGTAAGACAGGAGTCATGCAAGAGGAAGCAGACAGGCATTGATCTCCAAACAAACTAAAAATCCTAGATAAGTTAGACTATGATGCATTGAAGAAAACAAGTCACTGAAAAGTATGGAATTGCCAAGCCTATCTTATCTACAACACTTAGAAATCGTGAAAAATTCATAATCCTGGTGCATCAGTTTCTGGGAACAACTCGTAAGTGACTTCATTATGCTAAATATGAAGAAATTGAAACATTACTTCTAAATTTGTTTATTGCTGTGTGCACTTCAAGTCTACTTTTAAAGTCAACTGATAATTCAGTCAAAAGCAAATGAAATTGCCAACAATTTTTCCTTTCAAGATTTCAATTATTCTTTACCACTTCCAAAAGAGACTCAGTTTCATCATTAGTGATTTGTAGAGAAACAAAAAAAAAAAGGTTGATGATGAAGAAGTAAACAACTATTTGCATGAATTGTGGTTAACACAAACTCTTTTTCAGTACCTTGGAGTTTGTGTTAATCAGGATTTACTGTATTATAACTGCACCTACACAAGATTTACCACAACGATAGAAGTTTTGTAATTTGAAGATATAATTAGTATGCATAAGAGGCAGGACAGAAAGACAAATCCCAGGAAAGACAGTCATGAGATTAGCATGATTTTTGTGAGACACCAGAAGTGAGTTATGTTAGAATTATGAAAATAGAATGGATGAGGAGAAGGGTGAATCTGATAACCCAGTAACAATCTTTTACTATATATAGCTCTAGGTGTAGGCAGTCTTGCCTATTTCTGCCACAGAAGAGGTCACAGCTACACTGTGTATGCAGAAGCTAGGAGAAATGACTCTGTTGAGAATTCTGGGTCATCACAAGAGGGCACCACAGTGCCCACCCAGGAAAGGTTGCCACAGCAGCTTCAGCTGATTCAAGTCCAGGTGATGTTTCGTCATGGAGCTCGGACACCTCTTCATTTGATACCAAAAATACCAGAGGTAATGTTGAAATGAAGAAACTTAGTTTGAATATAATAGGCCAGCCATGTGATGCCCTAGAAGCTGCAAAATTGACACTTCCAGTTTGGTCCAGTTCGCTGTAAATATCAGTAAACTGAATTTGTTTGACACGTCTCCATTTTCTAGACAATAGCAATAATAGCTGTGTGCAGGAAACTGAGCCCATGAGTTCTCCAGCCAACAGGAATCTGGTTTGCCATATACAAAAGGTCGAAGTCATTGTTCCCCTGTAGGATTGCTGTCCGTAGGATAAATACTTCCGTGATGAGAATAAAATATGAGCAAATCTCAGAAACATTGATCCACTGTATTACGTAGTTATGTCAAGTTAAAGTAAAGTCAGGATCCTTTTCCACACCTTCAGGTGTATTCTTTTTTAACGTATCCAGAAACCATGAGTTGTAAACCCTTTGGCTCAGTACTATAGATATCGCAACCCTTCGGCCTTGATTCCATTATAGGTACCGTTAATTTGGGAGAAATGTGGCTTTTCTGCCTACCCCTGTGAGTGTACCCGGACCACAAGGAGTTTGTCACCCGGCCGCCGCGAAAGTCAGTTTTAACCAACTTCGCTAGAGAGCCGGGTTCAGGCATATTCAACATATAGGGATGGACCTATATTTTATAGACCAATTGGCACTCCGTCGGTAATGTCTTCAGCATCAGACCAGCCACCTGTTCTCCCCAGGGCTATACCTGGTATCCATTTGGCTGGATTGACTTGGGAATACAGATAATTTTTCAAGAGAAAAAAAGGTGTGACTTTGTCAGGTCCTGAACCCATGACCTTCCTACCCACAAGCAAGAGTCTAGCAACTACACTATGGTGGCTCCAAGTTATATTATGAAGTAACCTACAGTCCAGTGTAGGGGTGGGATGAAGTAGCCAGGTGGCGTGGGATTCATCTAGTTAAATACTCCCTGAAACTACAAGCCCAGCAAGCTGGCAGTGAATACAAGTTTGTGTGAAGGAATAGTTAGAGAAACCAGACCGATCTAAATAGCTTGTGCGAGGCCTTGAATACCAGCATCTACATAGTACACACCAAGGCTCATGGCAGGTGCCTCTTCAAAACCTGAAGCTGAACGGTAGAACAGAGAAGAGAAGCATGGGCTTCTTGAAGGCACACGGGAATACAGCCTATGTTGATGACACGTGTGTATAGTAAGACCGGCTCATGTTCAGAAAATATTCCAGAATAAGTGCATGGGATTTCAGGGTGATTGTAGCTTTCACAATTTGGCTTGTTTTTTTTTTTTTTTTTTATTTAAACGCTGAGCTCATGGCTTATCAGCATTCCTTTTCTGCTTTGTCCTTATTGTCTTTCCTTTTTCCTTCCAGTTTCTCTGATGCACTATTAAAAACCGAACTGTTTACTGTAATGTTGGTTTGATTTTTAGGCAAATTATGATCCAGAGTTTTTGTTGAAGGAGCATCAAGCTTCATTGTTTCCTTACGAGCGCTTACTGTATGGTTCAGGGGTGCCTATTGATTGGTCCGGCTATGAACAGAGACTGACACAAATGCCTTTGAAGGTAATTGGACAAAATCTTGATCATAATGTTTATGTGCTGTCTTTATGTTTTTTTCTTCTTCTTCTGCTTCTCCTCCACTTCCTCTTCCTCTAGTTCCCTATTTTGTTGTCTTTTTCTTTCCCTATTTTTCCTGCTCTTCCTTTTCCTCCTCTTCATCCAGCTTCTCTTTTTGTTTCACATCCTCCTCCTCCTCTTTCACCTCCTCATAATCTGCTCCTTTTGTCCTTTGTTCCTGCTCATCATCTCTGTTCATTTAGCTGCTACTACTGCTGCTGCTGCCTGCTACCGCTCTTTCCCCTTATGCATTCTCTTCTTTCTCCTCTTCCTCCAGTTTCTCTTTTTTTGTTTCTCATCCTCCTTCTCATATTTTCTCATATTTCACCTCCTTCTAATCTGCTCCTTTTGTTCCTTTTTTTTGTTCCTGCTCGTCATCTGCCTGTTCTAAGGGTTATGTTGTGTTACATTGATTCACTATGGATGGTATCCTCTATGATGAAGGAGAAAACCGGAGCACATAATGATGACATTACAGTTAGAGATGTGCTGATCTTCACAGATAGGTCTGTTCTACGAGGACATAAGATTGCAGGGGCACTTACAGCTGGCTCTTCAGGCAGAACAGATTAAGAAGCCAGCAGTGCCTTCTCCATGACCAACTGCAGCATGATGATGGTGGTGATGGCGGTGACACAGGCTTTCATGTGGCTGGGATCACAGGACTGTTTTCTCGTGTGTGTGCTAAGTGACTCTTTGAGCATGATCCGACTGGTCGAGGCAGGCTGGTTACGCAGACAGTGGATTGGTCAATGCAAAACTCTCCTGTGTGTGCAGTTACCTTTATATTTGTCCCAGGGTATGCAGGTGTTATTGGTAATGAAAGAACTGATAGACTGTCATGTACCGCATTAACTGAAGATGGCCGGCCCATATATCACGCTGACATTGTCAGTGCCTTTAGAGAGATATAAAACTGAATAAAAAGTATATTAGCAAGCTTCACAATATAACAAATAGAAATAAAACTTAAATATTGCGGCTATGGAGCCTTCATCAGCACATACAAATAAAACAGTACCACACAAATACACAAAATCACTTAGCTGGTATCTCGAAGCAGCCGGGTCAATGGCTTCTCAGCAGACTGCTTACACACGTGGGCCAGGGGAATTAATACCCCCTGTAGAGTACCAGGGGCCATAACTAGGGGGTTTGAGATAAAACTGTGAGGGCAGTTTAAATGAAACAGTGTTGGCAAGTCAATCCCGAGGGTGTTAAAGTACCCAAAGTGTAAATAAAGCAATTCTCAAGAGACTTGCGGACTCTGTCGCTGGAGTGGCTAGATTTTATGGCTGTCACCTCCATGTTGAGGACACCTTGTTGATCCTAAGAATTGAAGTACAACGGTACTGGTTTCAGGGCACCATTTTGATCATCCAAAAGATGTCTGAACCTGTCAGCCAGCCGTAAACCTGTTTCACCAATGCATAAGAGAGATAGGATGTTCCGAGGTTTTAGGAAGCAACGAGTCCACATCACTGCTAAAAATATAAGAATTGGGAGTAAAGATTGGCACAGCCAAGCATGAGAAGCACACCAGAGGCACACAAAGTCTTGTCAACGAGCATAGAACTTATACTATTAACCGCACGACACTGATAAATATGTTGTTGGTGGAGGGTGGGGGGGGATCTGAGCACCTATGGATGTGTCCAGAGTTCTGTGAAGATAATCCAACTCATAACTCATACAGTTAGAGGGAAAGAGAGATAGAGGGAAGCCAACAGTGAGGGTTTTGAACAGTTTGGCCCTATGGCAAGGAAAAAACATCTGTAGCAGAAATGATTGCCCAGACTTTCATGCCATCAAGTGAGCATATGCCCATTATGCTACCACTGCTTCATAGAGCATTTAGTAACAACATGAGCAATTGTAATGTTTTTAAGCAAATAAGTTTCATCATGAAGTTTAAAGATCAAATGTTGTAAATCTTCTTGACTATATACACATGTCATAATTGTAACTCACTCACAGAGCGTGTTGAAAAAGGTGGAGACAGGCATGCTTTGTGCAGAATGGCAAGCATCGCTTCAGAGATCCTGGGTAATTATCATCCTTTGGATATTGTCTCCAGGTGATGCGGGTGTGTTGGGAAAAGAGCAGGCAGATAGACTGGCCGGTTCTGCACCACTTGGTGAATTGATGTATGACAAACTAGATGTTATGAGGGCCTTTGGAGCTAGTGAACAATGCAAAGACACAAATGGATTATCATGATCTGACGAGAATGACGCTGTGAGGAGTTACCAGGGGATCTGGCCAACAAAGAGAAAGGTGGGATGGATATACAGTCAGACAGTTACTGGTACCATCTGAATTGGAACTCTTTGCTTGCTGCTGAGGATGGGGACAGAGCGCCAATGGGAGTGTCTCGATTGCTGTGATGTGGATACTTAATTCAACATTAAAATTCTACTATGCAAAACCATTTGTTTTTGGTTTTTTTCTCGAAAAGAGTGGAGTTCCCGCTGGTGCTCTAACAACCCCTGGAAAGGATCAAGTGTATGTGCTTGGTCAAAAACTGCAGAACAGCTACAGAGAGAAGCTCAACTTGGCAATATATGACCCTAGAGATGTTTTGTAAGTATTATTGTCCTGGCAGCTTATAGCTTTAATGATGTTTTAACAACAGCCTCTTAACAACATGTTACAGGGGATCAAGGCGGGGTACATACAGAAACAGTGGCTCCATTTGATTCAGCACGCAGTTTTTCACAAAATCACCTTCAGTTTTGTCCCAGGGTATGCTGGTGTGAAAGGCAGTGAGAGAGCAGACACTTTGGCTGTCAGTGCACTATCAGGAATGGGCCATCTATGGGCAGGAGAGACATCGGCAATGCCATATGAGAGTCTAAACACAGAGAGACTAAACACAGTGAGACTAAACACAGTGAGACTAAACACAGTGAGACTAAACACAGTGAGAGAGCAGACACTTTGGCTGTCAGTGTGACTATCAGGAATGGGCCATCTATGGGCAGGAGAGACATCGGCAATGTCATATGAGAGACTAAACACAGTGAGACTAAACACAGTGAGAGAGCAGACACTTTGGCTGTCAGTGTGACTATCAGGAATGGGTCATCTATGGGCAGGAGAGACATCGGCAATGCCATATGAGAGACTAAACACAGTGAGACTAAACACAGTGAGACTAAACACAGTGAGACTAAACACAGTGAGACTAAACACAGTGAGACTAAACACAGTGAGACTAAACACAGTGAGACTAAACACAGTGAGACTAAACACAGTGAGACACAGTGAGAAAACACAGTGAGACTAAACACAGTGACTACTAAACAAACACAGTGAGACTAAACACAGTGAGACTAAACACAGTGAGACTAAACACAGTGAGACTAAACACAGTGAGACTAAACACGTGAGACTAAACACAGACTAAACACAGGAGACTGAGACTAAACACAGTGAGACTAAACACAGTGAGACTAAACACAGTGAGACTAAACACAGTGAGACTAAACACAGTGAGACTAAACACAGTGAGACTAAACACAGTGAGACTAAACACAGAGAGACTAAACACAGTGAGACTAAACACAGTGAGACTAAACACAGTGAGACTAAACACAGTGAGACTAAACACAGTGAGACTAAACACAGTGAGACTAAACACAGTGAGACTAAACACAGTGAGACTAAACACAGTGAGACTAAACACAGTGAGACTAAACACAGTGAGACTAAACACAGTGAGACCCCACTAAACACAGTGAGACTAAACACAGTGAGACCCCACTAAACACAGTGAGACTAAACACAGTGAGACTAAACACAGTGAGACCCCACTAAACACAGTGAGACCCCACTAAACACAGTGAGACTAAACACAGTGAGACTAAACACAGTGAGACTAAACACAGTGAGACTAAACACAGTGAGACTAAACACAGTGAGACTAAACACAGTGAGACTAAACACAGTGAGACTAAACACAGTGAGACTAAACACAGTGAGACTAAACACAGTGAGACTAAACACAGTGAGACCCCACTAAACACAGTGAGACTAAACACAGTGAGACTAAACACAGTGAGACTTTCAGTTTCATGGACAATAATTTTTAACTGAATAAACTGCCTACCCTGGGTATACCAGTTGGAGCGACTAGACAGGAAAACCATGTGGGAGCCACCTGTCGTTACATCAACCACAATAGAGTGGGAGTTGTTAGCCTAAAAACACTTGGAGACATTATGAGGAGGAGATCGGAGCACTTAAGGTCATGTCCCATGTTCGATGAAGATGATCTCAGAAATGAACAATAACAACAGCCTACCGTTCTAAGAGAATGTTTTGTAAGAATTAGTAGTATCATAGGAGCTTTCAACACTAAGGGTGTTTCAACGACATACAACCCTTGTTATGTTTTAGCAACATATGATGCTAGTGATGTTTCAGCAACATGCAACTATAGGGGTGTTTTAATATTTAATTAACCCTAGGGATGTGTTAAGAACATACAATGTAGGGATGTTTTAAGAACATGCAACCCTAGAGATGATTTAACAGCCTACAACCCAAGGAATGATTTAATAACATATGACCTAAGGGTGTTTAATAAATAGAGTGATTGAAAGGTATGTGTATGTGGCAGAGTGATTGAAAGGTATGTGTATGTGGCAGAGTGATTGAAAGGTATGTGTATGTGGCAGAGTGATTGAAAGGTATGTGTATGTGGCAGAGTGATTGAAAGGTATGTGTATGTGGCAGAGTGATTGAAAGGTATGTGTATGTGGCAGAGTGATTGAAAGGTATGTGTATGTGGCAGAGTGATTGAAAGGTATGTGTATGTGGCAGAGTGATTGAAAGGTATGTGTATGTGGCAGAGTGATTGAAAGGTATATGTATGTGGCAGAGTGATTGAAAGGTATGTGTATGTTGTTTACAGAAGTAAAAGTAGTCTCTGTGTCTTATAGTAAATCCTGAAATTGATTTTCCTTTCAGGGTGTTATCAAGCAATATCAGACGAACTGTGGAGTCAGCTAGAGGTGTCCTGGCTGGTTTCTTTGGCAAAGAACAACTGCAAGCATACGGTAGGTCTTTGAGATTGCAAGATGTGGAGGAAGTTGATTGTCCACACCAGATGGCATTACACTTGATCATGAGGAATGAGTGAACAGTCAAACAAACAAACTTTTATTTTAAAAAGGTTAAGAGTTGGGCTTGCAGCATATCTAACATTCTATCCCTATAGCCTTATTCCTTACAAACAATCACACATCATTAAATCAGTACTAATAAACATTATTAACAACATCTAAGTCTTTTCATTTTCTCAGATAAACACTGGAATGTAATCTGCTTGAGCCTATATTTAAAAACACTCATAATACGAAGTATACTAATTGCAATAAAGTTCGCAGAAATATACAATATGTTAAATATACTAGTTGAATATTGCTGTCACGAACAATATGTTGCTTAATTTATTGTCTGGCGTATTTTGCTGTGTCTTGTAGGATGCATTACAACATATAATGGAGCATCTGGGCCTTAACAGGAAGCAAAGAATAGTAGCAGTGCATCCTACAAGGCATGTCGTATAGGTGACTAGGAGCTTAAGGTTGGCTACCTCATACTGTAAAAAACAATAGCCACAAAAAACAACCAGTCATAAAAAAGTCAAAAAAGAGAAATGAGAAAAAACCAAGATGAGGGGAGGCTCTTCTAGTAGAAGTATGGCCGATGCAGACAAAACTGAAAGGAGTCTAGATTGTCGATGTATCTCCTTTCACCTAGGAAAATCTCTAGGATTGGGACCTAGTATATCATAACTTTATACAATGTCGAAAGAACAATGGAGACCCCAAAAAAAAAACATGGAGATGGGAAATAGTAAGGGAAGATAAAAAGATAGGGAGGACATGGGAAGAGCTACATGCGATGGCAAAGGACACAACGACTTGGCGTTAGTTGGTTGAGGGCCTGTGCTTTATTGGGGGATAGAAGGCAGAAGAAAATATTTTACTGTGTCTTGTAGAGTGCATTACTACAGAGATAATCAGTATATAATCAAGAAATCTCATTATCAAGCTACGCTGTACATCTCTCTGCCAGAAATTGAAAATTTGCCACACGATTACCATGGTGTGTCACATTTATCACATGTTCTTTTTGTTTACCTTAAGTGGGATAGTACATGTTTGTTATTCTAGCTTTGGCTAGTGTCAGTAAACACAAATGTTATGTTTTCCCAGCTGAGCAGATTTCTCCCATAAAAATCTACATCACCGGCAACAAGTACAACATCCTGGTCCCTGACGCAACAAACTGTGCTGTCTTAAACAAGGTCAACCATGCAGCAATGAACCACAGCGACCTCCTTCCTGGCTTCAAGGATGACAGGCTGACTGTAGAGAAGGCTATCAGTGAGTATAAAAGTGTATTCCATTTGTCTAAATGGTTTTCTTTTTCCTCTTCTTTTTCTTCTTCTTTTTCTTTTCTTCTTCTTTTTCTTCTTCTTCTTCTTCTTCTTCTTCTGCTGCTGCTACTCTTAGCTCCCCTCTTATTGTGTTTCCTGGTTCCCCCTTTTTTCTGTGCCCCTGTGGGTTCCAATGCCATCGACGATCTGAGCGTTCTCCACACAATGTTATACTTCTACTAGATGAGCCTTCCCTCATTTTGGTTGGCTGGGTTTTTCTCTTTTTGACTTTTCCATGGTTGATTGTTTTTTTTATGGCTAATGTTATTACATGATGAGGTAGCCAACCTCAAACCCAACCCTACCCTTAGTCGCCTCTTATGACATGCCTGGTAGGATGCATTGTTATTAGTTTTCTTTTACAGCATGCTTGTGTGTTGGGGGGGGGGGGGGGGAGAGACAAGAGAGACACTGGGTTTATTCCCCCTCTGCCTTGATTTCTTAGGTCATTTCCTGGTACCCATATTAGGCAGGGTCAACCTGAGAGCCCAAGTCATTTATAAAAATCTTGACTGTGCAGATTCAGAACGCACATCGGTCTTCAATGTAGTCACAGAAAACAGTAGGCAGTTAGACTCCAGGTCCCAGAGGTAGTTCTAATTACAACCCTACCACAACCGGCCAGAATGTTTTAAAATTGCAACTCACACACTGGCCATCCAATTGTTCCAGGCATTAACCTGGTCTGAACCAACAGCCTCTGTACCAAGCTCTTTCCTGCACCTCTCCAAGCTACACAACGATCAATGTGTGGCTGTATTGGGTGTGATCAGACAGACCACGTGACTGCGCCGAGTCGCCTGAATGCAGTGCCCACGATATCATCATATTCTTCTTCAACTGACAAAAGTCTTTTTCAGACCACCTCGCTAAAACACAGCTAAGTACGTGACAGAAACCAACTGTAACCAAATACACTGGGCTGTCTCTCTAAAACATGGACAGTACCCTGCCTAACTACCACTTAAAATTATAACGTCAAAATGTTATCACAAATTAACCGTTGCTAACTTAAAATCCCACTGGGCTAATGAACTCTTAGCCGCTAAGCGGCCATCTAAGTGCTAGTCCATTATTCACTATCATCACCTACAATCGTCCCATAGCTACCCAGGCCCTTGACACCATTCGGCAAGGCCTTTGATAATGATGAGCCAGTGGAAATTGTGTTTAGTCCCTGGTAGATTTTGAGTTTTGAGCCTTAATTTTTTTTTAAATAGGCTATAATGTATGAGTTAAGAGCATGCATCTTCCCTGTGGCTACATACAGATGTGAGTCATGGACTATCTCTCAGTCCTTAAGAAAGAGAATTGGGGCTTTTGAGCTGAAATGCTATAGAAAGATTCTCAGAATATCTTGGACAAAGAAGATGAGAAATATTGACATCTTAAAAGATCTGAACTTCAAGGATAATAAACACCATCCTTTCTCGAAAGCTGAAATATTTTGGTCATATCAAGCGCCAGTTGTTCATCAACTTCTGGGCTTTGGTCTTGTTCTAGAACTTGAGTTTTTTTTACACATACATCTGTCTTACATTTTCCAGAAAATGTTCATGAATTCCATTAATATTGTATTTCTTTCTCCCCATTTGGGTTCTGGGGTCACATTGGGGGGGTGGGGGGGGGGGGTAGGGAGGGAGAGACAGACTCACTGCCCCCTAACAAGTGTGTCACAAGAGTTAGTTACTTGGGAAAGTTTCCTTTCAAATTGGACTAAATCTGCCTGAGAGGCAAGGAACCAAAATAAGCCAAATCTATGAAAAGAATAAGCTAGCAAAATTTAAGTTATGGAAAAAGATCAAAGTCCAGAAGTGGATGAACAACTAGAACTTTCTACCAGAGTTTAGAACCAGTGAATGCCAGGAAGTATTTTCTTTGCCTTCTGGTAGCCTATAGGTTAGATGCTCTCCTCCTGGCCAGAAAATCCAAGGTTCGAATCCACATCAAGGCAGATTTGTTTCTTTAAAATCGATCTTGGCTGCCATGTCAAACCAGCCTAAAATGGGTACCAGGTATTATCCTGGGAAGTAAAGGTAGCTGGTGTGATGCTAACCAGATCAGCCGAGTGCCAGTTAGCCTATACAAATCTAGGTCTAGCACTATATGCTCAGTGGGCCAAGGGCTGAAAAGGGTCCTTTACTTTACCTTTGTTTACCTGTACCCCCTTTTTTTCCACAAATTTTTGCACATCTTTAGTATTTTCACCATTAACATTTACAGTTGGTGTAGATTGTGAACACTTTGTACCTTAAACAGATGATGAACGCCAGGAGAAGATTAAAGCTGTGAAAGCCATTCAAGAAAAGATAAACCGGCTCCGTGGTTCTGCTGTGAAGAAGGACAGTGTACATTCCCTTGAACACAGCAAAGGCTCTCAGTCCTCCCTGAAAAATCAGGGTTTGCAGCAGCTTACTGAGGATAGGAATCGGGCCATTGACCAAGTTGAAAGGCTGTGGGCTTATGCAGAATCCTTTTTTTTATTTTTTTTTTAAGATGTTGTTTGCATAATTGAATAGGGTATTAGCACAAAAAGGGTATTACCTGTTAACACAAGAAGGGACAGGGTTACGAATGCCAGCATTAGAGAAAAAGCTGAAATAAACCCATGTCTGAATTATATTGACAGACAAAGACTGAAATGTTTCAGTCATCTAGTGAGAAAGCATCCAGACCAAACTGTACAAGAGGTTTATTTTTTTTACAGCATAATATCTGGGAGAAAGGTAAGAGAAGAAGACAGAGAAAGACATGGATAAATAGTGTCGCTGAAACCTTCAAAAAGGATAACTCGGTCACCCAAGCCCCTGAGTTTTGTCTAAAAATGTATGCCATTAACATAAATCCAGTCTTCAAAAGGGGTCCTTAACTGTTTATTTTCTTATGAGCTGAGTTAAGAACCAATATCAGAGTACTTGAAATGTTCTCTTAAGCTTTCCATCACCACCTTTAGCAGCCAGTTCTTCTTCTCTTCCACCTTTTACCTCATCGAAGTGTCGGGGGGAAATGTAATGTTCGTTGATGAGCTCTGTCAAGAGCACTATTAAGACTGATGTTCATTTCTGTAAGACTGTTCTTAATGCCATCACTCCTTATTTTCCACTAGCTCTATACCCATTGTAACGTTTTAGTGTGGCTCGCTGTGGCGGATAGTACCAGGGCATTCTTGTTAGGTGTCCAAACCACTTCAATAGTTGTTCTTTGATGACCGGTAAGACTGGCTTTATTCCTAACATTTGTCTGATTTCATGATTTCGTATTCTGTCTTTCCTTGAAACTCCTGCAGCTCTTCTAAGGCATTTCATCTCTGTTGTCACAATTTTACGTTCATTGGAGGATGTAAATGTCCACATTTGGCATTGATAGCATAGTAGCAGCCAGTGAAGATTTTAAATGCTGAGGGTACCAGTAACAATTTGACAATACATCTGTCTTATCTTTCCTCTCCATTTAGAATATCAGCTAGGTCACCTGGTCGCCCTCAGCTGCACCATTCTCTCCAGACTGTAATGATCTGTTTGCAAATCCACATTGTGCACTTGTTGCTAAGGGGCTTTAACTAAATCTAGTTTGTTGTGCATCATTTACCACCCCTGTTGTAGCACTAGCCAATTTCTCTGCCTGTTCATTTCCTTATAAAAGATGCTAACTGTATATATTTTACTGTGAATGAGTTAAGATTTAAGAAAGCATAATTAATTATGTGACAGAGCAGTAAGAGTCCTGAAAAATTAGTACACTGCATGCAAAAACAGGAGACTTATCACCACTGCACTGAGGTGACCATTCCTTAACTTAAACACAGATGGTGAGAAATCCAAACCTGGCCAACAGAATCACTGAAGAAGATATGCAAGCTTTAGTTTACTTGAGGCGACTGGAAGTGGAGCAAGTGGAAGGAAAATTCCACCCTGGCTACAGGTTTCATTTTGTACGTTATTGGCAGTTCCTGTCACATGTCACTTTAGATGGCATATATTTAATTCATTTGTTTTCTAGTTGGTTGCCATCTCTGATTCCTGTAGTTTGATTTTGAATTCAGGAACCATTTTTGTCATTTGAGACTGTGAGATAGTGCTGCCCTCTCATCCTTCAAATAACAGAGGAAGTTCATTTATTAGTGCACAAATTCTGTGCTTCAAGCCAGAAACCTGTTGTGTGGTTTTTTTATACCACTTGCAGCTATATGGCCAGATTTTTCTTTCCTCCAGAATTGCAGCCTGAAATATTGATACCCAGTTCGCAGTCTGGATTCTGGGGCACCATTGTCGGGGGGAAAAAAAGAATAATAACCACTGATCTTTAACACACATGTTCAAACAGGCAACTAAGGATTTGTTGAAGTCAGATATGTTGGATGAGAGGTGCAGGTATCACAGCCTACTGTAGAAAACTGCACAGTGTGCTGTCCACCCTGTTCAGAATTAACTCGGACGAAGAGGGCAAAGGCAGCACAATTTATTTTACAATTAACAAAAAAGTGTTGTAGTCTCCCTTTATCTCTAAGCATAGACACGGTGCCTAACGGGTAGGACAAATAATATGACTGTGTGGATATAAAAAAGAATATTTCATTTTTCATTTTTTTTGACGTGTTATTTGCTGTAAATTGTTCAGTATTCAACTCTTTCAGGACCACATTTTTTCTGGGGTTTGGACAGCATTAATTTTAAGCAGACTTTTTTTTACTGCAATACTACACAACTAAAACCTTCCTGAAGAAAAGTATTGGCTGTATCAGGGCTTATAGTATATCAAATTAAAGATAAATGAATGCAGAATTTATATAAACTATTTAAATGTCAGTATTGCAACAAATATTATTAAAATCACACAACATTCAAGGATGTTAGACACATATGAAGATTATTTACATAAAAAAATTGTCTGCTTACCTTACTTTTTTTTACTTGTTCAGCAACACTGCTATCCAATTCTAAGAATTCACATGCCTTCTCTGTTCAATTATTTATCAGCTAGTCTTTATTTGAAACAGCTAATTTAAATACTTTGAATGTTATGATCATTTTTGTATGACATGTCAGATTTCACAACAACCGAAAATCGAGAAAACAGCTGATCAAAACAGATGATCAGATTGAAATATTTTGTTCAGTTTTCATATCCTAAACTAAATTATCGCTAATAGGTTTGTCACTTAGATATCAATCATAATATCAAGACTATTGTCACCATCTGGCAGAGATTCTTCAACAACAGAACAGTATGAACAGTTCTAGACCTTTTCCCTTATCATTTAGTATAGAAAAATCATGTAAAAATTGTGTCACATCTAAATAATTTTTTTTTTTTTAAATCTTAAAGGGACGCAAAAGACTCGCGGCACACCGTAAATGAAAGGACATCCTGTTGTTAATCCTAATTTTTCAAAACTTGTTCATAAAAGCTTGTTTTCCCCACAAACGGAACAAAATTAGAGTGTCTCTATGATAAGCCAGTATACTGATGACTAGTCCGAAAACTTGTGATTAGTCTTCAGAGTTAAATTATATTCATACAAACAGTACTGGGGGGGGGGGGGGGGGGGGGGATTATTGCCAGGAATATTTTGCTGTTTCTCATCAAGTTCATTACTACAGAATTTACATCAGCATTGAATAAAGCATAAAATATGAATCCTTTCCACTGAAGCACGAACTGGTTTGTCTTCTCCAGTTAAATTGTACCTCTCTTATGTAGGGTTGTTCATTTTTATTGTCACAGCCTCCACTGATTTTGTAATTGCCTAGTCAAGTATTTGGTAAATAACCTGAAAGGTACTATCCAGATCAATTACATGGCCAGAGTCAAGCAAATGACATGAACATTTCAGTTCTTTCTTCTTGGTTGGTCTTGATGCATTTGTGGGATCTCCACTCAGTTGTGTGTGGATCCATTTAGATAATGTTTTGCTACTTTGTTACCAATCTGTCTCTCCTTCTAAAAGTGTGAGTTAACTGATACAGTGTTTTTTTTCCCCGGTATTTTAACCTGACATATCCCCTGTTTTTTTTTCTTCTCTAGTACTTTGATCCCAATCCTTACTTCTCTAATGAATATTTATGCAAGGAGGTTTACATACACCAACAAGCTGATGCAGAAAAATCCTGGTCAACTCCAATTGCCTGGAAAGAATATGGAGTAAGTTGCTAGTAATATTTTTGTTGTTGTTGCTAAGTTAGAAAGTAAATGCTGGAGAACCATTAGATACATGGGACAAAAGTAAAGTGCATTAAAAACAAATGCCTAAGAAAATTGATGAACGTGAAATGGGATTAATGCAAGAAAAAAAAAAAAAGAGAGAGACAAGTCTGGACAACTACTTGTAACAACAATTATAAGTGAAAGAAGATGACAGCATATTGGGCACATCATGAGGAGGAGTGGATTGACAGTCACTAAACAGGCACTGAAATCAGAAACATTTGGACTGAGCAAATGAGGACATCCAAGAGAAACTTTAAAATGAATGGTGTTGAGAGAGGCCAAGGGTGCTAAACTGAATTCCATTAATGATAGTGAAAGGTTTGCACGGGAAAGAATAGAGTAGACGGCTAGCCATGTGTGACATATAACGGCACAGTAGAGTAATGATGGTAAGTTAAAATGGCATTTTTGTGTGTGATTGAGTGGCCAGTTCCTTTCCTTATCACATTGTCTTCCCACGTTATTCTGGAAAATGATCAGTAGTCATTACTGGTCAGTTAAAAATACTGCTACTTGAAAAAAAAAAAAAAAATTTGACCCTCTCCACGATGATGGTTGGCCACAATTTATACATTATCTCTGTTTTTATATGATGAGGTTCCAGTAACTTCTAAAAAAATCAACAATTCTTTGCAGGTCGCTAATAAAAAATTTAAAAATTTAAAAATAAAAAATTATTTACTTTCCCCCAAAGTATATGAAGGGGGATAATCGGTAGATATGAACAGAGTGAAGAATTAAATGGATTCCATTTCTTTGGTATGAAATAACTGTGCTGGGTTACTTATACTATAACCCTATCAGACTATTACCATTAAGACTCATGACAAATCATGGCGTTAGACTGGCTTAAAAAGTCATTTTTCACAATAACACCCCAACCCCCCACAATAACACCCCCACCCCCCACAGTAACACCCCCACCCCCTACAATAACACCCCCACAATAACACCCCCACCCCCCACAGTAACACCCCCACCCCCTACAATAACACCCCCACCCCCACAATAAAACCCCACCCCCACAATGACACCCACCCCACCCCCACAATAACACCCCCCCCCCCCACAATAACACCCCCACCCCCCACAATAACAACCCCCATTCCCCACCATAACACCCACCCCCCACCATAACACCCCACCCCCCAAAATAACACCCCCCCCCCACAATAACACCCCCACTCCCCCCCCACACTAACACCCCATCCCCCACAATAAACACAATAACACCCCCCCCCCCTACAATAACACCGCCACCCCCACAATAACACCCCCCCCCCCCACAATAACACCGCCCCCCCCACCCCCCACACCCACCCCCCCCCACAATAACACCCCCACCCCCACAGTAAAGCCCCACAATAACACACCCCCCACCCCACAATAACACCCCATCCCCCACAATAACCCCCCCCCCCCACAATAACACCGCCACCCCCACAATAACACCCACCCCCCCCCACAATAACACCGCCACCCCCCACAATAAAACCCCACAATAACCCCACCCCCCCCCCCCACAATAACACCCCCCCCCCCCCACAAATAACACCCCCCACCCCACAATAACCACCCACAACCCCCCCCCCCCTTTCCCCCCCCCCCCCCCCCTCGGTACTAGTGAGTGCAGCAGTGCAGGTTTTGCAGCATTTACAGGAATCTGCAATGGATGGTAATGTGAAAGTAGCAAGTAGCAGCATTACCTAGCCCAAAGGGTTGATTTATAGCTCAGTTCTCCTGATCCCTCAGAACTGATCAACTATTCAGCAATTGCAATAACATTTTCTGTTTAAATAATTTCAGAAGTTCATTCGAGATAAAATAAATGAAGAGACAAAAACAGTTTGTAAGTGCCAAGAAAATGACAATAGCAAAGAGATACCAGCACAAAGTAGTCAAAACGGACATGGTGAACATGAGCCAAAAAGGTAGGCTTCTTTTTTACTTTTTATTAGTTTATTTTGATTTTTCACTTCTTATAAGTGATCTGTTGTTTTTTAATTTTTTATCATTATACTAATTATTATTTTGCGACGAAGCAGATTTGCTGATCTACACAGACGGATCTGTTATACGACAACAAAGAAGTTCATTGGCATTCACAGCATGCTCAGTGGGCAGAACAATCAAAGAAGCCAGCTGTGCCTTCTCCATGACAGCAAGCAGCATGACGATGGTGGTGATTGCAGTAACCCAAGCATTTGTATGGCTGAGAACACAAAACTATACCCGTGCATGTGTACTTGTCGATTCCGTGAGCATGTTCCGAAAGATCCAAGCAGGTTCTGTGCGAAGACAGTGGATTGAGGCATTACAGAAGTCGACTGTGCATAACGTCATCTTTAACTTCGTTCCAGGGCATGCAGGCGTAGATAGAAAGGGAACTGCTGATAAGTTGACTGGATCCGCTGTCACTGCTAAAAGTCAACCCATGGAGCATGCTGATAATATTAATGCCCTCAGAAAAGTGGGAAGGGTGGAGAACTTTCGAGACAGCGATTCCACATCGCTCACCAGAATGAAAGACTCGGGAGTTAAGATCAAAATAGCCAAAAGTGAGAAAAACACCGGGCATACATAAAGACTTATCAATCAACAAAGAACTGGCATCATTAATCACAGGACACTGGAGTTCATGTTGAGGAATGATTTGAGCACCTAGGGACATGTTGGGAGTTCAATGATCATATCCCAACTAACTAACTAACCTAATTATTATTATTCTATTTCTGTTATCATTCATCAAATGATATACTGAAGACTATCTGTGAATGACAGCTAATTAAAGATACTATTAATAGATTGCACAATTTATTGCCTGGCGTATTTCCCTGTATCTCGTCAGGTGCATATTACAGTAACAATTAAATAAATGAAGCAAATAAGCGAATCCTTTATAACATTTGAACACTCTCAAAAGCATCTGCCTGTTTTACCGGGGAAGTCGCATCGTCACAACCATGTCTTTCTGTTTACAATTCTGGACAGAGGTAACGAACAATAGCGGCTTCAAGAAATCTGAGAGCTTTCCCATTGGATACAAAATAAAGAATTTGAAATTCATTGGCCTTGTTTACCCGTGTCCGGAGGTCAAAAGGTGGCGTTCAAATGAAGAGGCATGGTCTTTTCAACCGTTCACCTGGGTCGTATTTGTTAATTTTTTGTTCTGGTTGTTATTTTCGTTATTAATTTTTTCAACCACATCACCTATTGAGAGCACTGGTTGGGAACCTTGGGTCTGTAAAACTGAGAGTCTAGCATCATATGCACCATTGGCATATAAAGAGTCATCGTTGATATTTTATATGTGCTGACGAGCTGAAAATGTGCGTTTCAGCTGTTTTATTTTATTACAATGATATTTTTTAAAAAAGGTAAGTACTTCACAATACCCCAACACTTATCATCATCATCATGTTCCATGCTAATGAGAGTAGGCTATCATGTTTAACCATCTTACACAATCACTAGAATTACGGATCAGGTAAGTTTTTTGGTCTGATCTTATCCCTGTAGCCAGGCCATCCGGGTATCTATCTTGTTTTCTTCCTCTTGCTCTCTTTCCACCAATATTCCCAATGTTACCAAGTTCTCGAGTTCATTGCTTCTCTAATAGGTCCAAAAAGTCCTGACAGTCTGTATCTACTTGTTCTAATACGTTTACTACTTTTATCTGTCTCAATCAGGACTGCTTCATTGCAGGATATTCTTTGCATTCTTCTCAGAAACAACATCTCTGCTGCAAGCAAAGGTTTCTCAGCTTGTCTTTTTTATCCCACATGTTTCACATGCATATAAAACGTTGGTTCTACACTTTAATATTCTTTTTTTCTTGCTGCGTCTTCTTCTTCATCTCTGTTCATCAAAAGATGTAATTGCATTGTACCCATTCACAGCATGGCTGTGATATTTAGGCGTTTTGGCCGATTCAGCCACTTTCTGCTGTCTTGTTGACCGGGTTAGCCACTCATTGCATGTGATATCTTATTGGCAAGAATCTTTAGCACCTTGCTAACGGCCATCTTTGCCAAGGTGATTCTTGTTTTAAGTTCTGCTAGGCATCTTGCATCAGATGTTATGGCTGTTCATAAATAGTTGAATCTATTAACTTAATTAAGAATTTTACCATCTGCAAGTATTTCACATGTTTGGTATTTCTTTCTTCTTGGTGATGGCCACAATTTCCTTTTTCTTGCAGTTAAACTCTAATCCTGGTTTCTTGCTGTGATTGTCACTGACTCACAGAGCGTGTTGAGAAAGGTGAAGACAGGCATGCTTTGTGCAGAGTGGCAAGCATCACTTAAGAGGTCCCGGTTAGTTAGCATCCTTTGGATTTCTTCTCCAGGTGATGCCAGTGTGTTAGGAAATGAGCAGGCAGATAGACTCGCTGGCTCTGCACCACTTGGCGGTGAACTTTATGTATGACAAGCTAGATATTGTGAGGACCCTTTGGGAACGAGTGAACAGTGCAGAGGCGCAGATAAATCATTACAGTCTGAGGAGAATTGAGCTGCTAGGAGTTACCAGGGAATCTGACTCAGGGGAAGGATGAGACGGATATACAATCAGACGGTTACTGGTGCCATCGGAATTGGAACTCTTTGCTTTCTGATGAAGATGGGGACGGAGCACTTATAGGAGCGTCTCGAGGGCTGTGATGTGGATTCTTAATTCAACATTCCTAGTTGCTCACTGTGAGCTGTTGAGCACTGCAGATCTTCCTCATGGTTTGCAGTTAACCCTGTATCATCTGCATGTCTTATATGATTGATGTTATATCCTCCCATGATAATTCCCATCATGTCATTCAGATTTTGCATAATATTTTCCCAAGATCTGAAGACATTGCACATCCCACTACTACTACATCACAGTTATATTTAACAGTTGTTTCCATCATTTCAAGGTTCAAAGTATGTTAAGAGGTTTAGTGTAGAAGGTGTTCTACTATTTTTGTTACAGGAGGAGGAAAGAACCCACTTCTTCTATAGGACATCATCTACTTAATTCTGGACACGTAATTGACACAGACACTGCTTTATGTGTGGTTTATCACAGTCCTAACAGATAAAAAAAAACTCCTTTGTAAGCAGATGGAATTTATAGAAAATTTGAAGTTACCCTGGTAAGTCACGTGACTACGGTGAGCTTCCGGTGGCCAAAACACACAACGATGTATCGAAAGAAACTATTCACATTTCAGTTGGATTTATTCAGTTTTGTGCTACATTTTATGTTGATGTAACTCTGTAGTAACCCGCCTGATGAGATACCGTGAAATATGCCTGGCACTAAATTGTGCAATGTATTGTTTGTGTCCGCATTATTTAAATATTTTTGTTACATTTGTTCTGAACTGTGAAACTTGACTCTCCACAGCACCTGTGCATGTGGCAATGCTCAGACTTCATTCTTCAGCTGGTATGTGAAGCCGACTTGTGCTCAACATGACCACATTGGCAGGACCATCAGAGACGAAGTCTGGGTCAACCCTGTAGTGTTTCTGGAGGTTTGTTGTACCTTTATGGAAGTCAGTTATTTATGACATTGCCATAAGCTCAAGCTTTCTAATATGTTTTCTCTTGGTCTTCCTCTGCCTCTCTTCCCCTCCAACTACAGCTCAGACCTTCAAGGTTGTGAACAGTGAGGTTTTGCTGTAACTACAAGATTTGTTTCTTTCTCTCTCTCTCTCTCTCTGTCTCTCTCTTCCCCCCACCCCCCTTTTCCCACTCCCTCAGGATCCCTTCTTCTCTCCTCTTTATCCCCTGCTCTATTTTGTCTGTCTGTTTGTTTCTCTTTTTCTCTCTCTCTTTCTATCTCTTCCCCTTCTTTTTTTTCTTGTTTCTTGGAAGGGGGGGGGGGGGGGGAAGCGATGCCTCCCTAATAAGAATGTTGTAAGAGTCAACTGATTAGGGGTTTCCTTCAAAGTCAGAGAGCATTTGTCTAAGAGGCAAGAAACCAACAGTCTGCATATAAATAAGCCAGGGCTGTGAAATAAATGTACATGCAAAATTCAAGTTCTTAAGCAAGACTCAAGTCCAAAGCTGGATGAACAACCAAAACTTTCCGCCAGTGTTTACTCCAGGGGGCAGTGCCACTGAATGTGAAAAAGAAGTAGTCTGCATACGATTTAACTTTTGAGTTTTTATTATAAACACAAACAACGTTCAACAACCTAAAAAAAAATCTCTTATTTTTCTTGTATTAGTCTGAGAGCACATACACTGACAAATGGAATCGTAGCTTCAATTTTGTCTTTGCCAGGGATGATTTGATTGCCAGAACGGTGAGTATTCTCTCGTATTTTATTTTAATTCTAATTGTTTCATATTTAATTACGAGTTTTGACAGAAATAGCGTAGGCACAACTTCTTGAATGTTGTTGAATTATGCAGAGATTAAAGTATCATAGGCACCACTCTCTGTGTGTTGTTGAATTAGAGGGATGAGATTAGAAGTATAGGTGAAAATACTAGAAGAAATCGAACACCATTCCATACATGTTAAATTAGAGATAAAGAGATTAGAAGTACTATAGGCAATCTTTTTTAAGTGTACAACGACCACAAATAAATGGGTTCAATTCAAACATCTTGTGGAAATAAATTTAAATGAGCTACCACTTTGTCTATACACTTTAAGAACATTAGACTATGGGGCTAGAAGTAATTCAAGATTTAGACAACTAGATGTTATCACTAGTATAACACACTGTGCTACTAGGGCTAAACTTGGACACTATCAGAGACTCATATCGACGTGTTAATAAAAAAAATAAAAAAATAGGAACAGCAAGCGACAATTACTGCACATTAAAACTGAGAGTAATCAATTGTTATGTATACTCAGTCCTGCAATTAGAAAATTGTAAAAGGTCTCTGGTGATGTAGATATACAGAAGCTTTAATTTTATGGGGAGGGGGGGGTTGGGGGGGGGGGGGGGACAGCAGCGAACAAGAACAAAAACAACAAAGTTAAATACAGATTAGGAATGAAAAGAGAGTACTGAAGGAAGTTAAACAGAAAAACAAACAGTTAAATATATTGGCCGTATTAGAAAAATAGTTAAGTAAATTTAGTCTTCTACAGCCTATTGTTGGTTCTGTCATACAAAGCTGCAAACTAAAGGTTTGCTGATATCAGTAGTGCTGGGCCAAAAGATGCAGATATTGCAGCCTAGCTGTAAACTACAATACAACATGCCACCAGCCCTTTTAAAGGTGGACACAGAAGAAGAAAAAGACAAAACTTTCTTCAAAGTGATCTCATTGGTGGTTGCATTTGTAATAATTGTAAAAAGTGTGTTGATTTCTGTTATCCTTGGTGCTGTCATCAGACACATGGACTGGGGTACCCTGAGGAACTCAAGAAGTTTGAAGCCATGATTGAGGACCGAGCAACCACCATGTTGTATTATGCCATGGTAGGAAATCATACTGAAGAGAGAACTGTGGTGGCTCGGCTGTGTGCAGGGCCCCTGCTGAGCGCTATGGTGGACGAGTGTGAGAAGGTCATGAAGGGAAAGGGGTGAGTTGTGTGCAAGATTATGTAAACCTATTTTATTGTTTTATTTGCGTTCTTATGTGTGATCTGTGCTGCTTTCTCTGTCTCTCTCTCTCTGTCTCTCTCTCTCTCTCTCTCTCTCTCTCTCTCTCTCTCTCTCTCTCTCTCTCTCTCTCTCTCTCTCTCTCTCTCTCTCTCACATCTGTCTTTTGTGATCTTTCTATCTCTTGCTGTCTCTTGAAATATGTAACTTGTGACCCCACCCCCTTTTTTTTTTCCCCCAAAGATAGGACAGGGAAAGGTCACGAAAAACATAATGGCTGGCAGAATTAAAGAGAATCCTGAGCCAGGGAAAGGTAAAGGTAAATTTCTGGATGTTAAGGGAGGGGGACAAGAGCACTGACCGGATCTTGGATTCTGGTGATCATGTGAAATGTGAAACATGACTGTCTGCATTTATTAACAGGGTACATCATGATGATGATGATATGTTTACACATCATCATCATCATCATGTACCTGCTGTTGGTGTGTCTGGCTTTATTTCTTTGCCCCTGTGGGTTCCAGTACAGTGACCTACTGGGACGTTTACTTGTTGCACCTTCTCTTTGACTTACAACCTGTGTGACCTGTGACCATCCGCACTTATGACCACACACACACACAAAAAGTGTTGCATTGAGTTGAGTCAAGAATTGACATCACAGCACTCAGGGCATTCCCATGCCTGCTCCATCTTTATCTTTAGCAGCCAGCGCAGAGTTCCAATACTGATGGTACCGGTCACAATCTGGTTAAAAGTCTGTCTTGCCTGTCCTCCGAGTGTAGTCAGCCAGCCAGATCCTCTGGTTACACCCAGGTGCCTCATTCTCTCCAGTCATAATAATCTTGTTTTTCTACTGTTTCCGTTGCTAGTTCCCAGAGGGCCTTGACCACATCTGCCTTGTCATGTATCAATTCACCACCCAGTGATGCAGATCCAGCCAATCTGTCTGCCTGTTCATTACCCACCATGCCGGCATAGCCTGGAGAAAAGATCCAAAGTATGCTCACTACCTGTGATCTTTCCAGTGAAGCATCCCTGTCCTCACCTTTTTCAGCATGCTTTCAGAGTCTGTTACAAATAAGACATGTCTATGCATCTTGTTCTCTAACCACCGGAGGGCTGCAGATACCGCCTCCATTCTCATGCTAGGTGTTGTGGTGTCATATGTTTGGCTGTCTTGCACTAAAGATTTTCCATTGGCTTTTGCTACGAAACCTCAGGCACTTCTCTTGCCTCTCAACACCGAACCATCTGTTGTTATACCAGACAGAAAAAAAAAAAGAAAGATAACTACATTGGTAGGGTTGAAATATTCCTGAAACTGATGTAGTAGAGTACATATTAATGTATTTTTGACATTATGTACAATCATTATATGTACAAAGTTTAAATTTGTGCCTTTAATATAAAATGTTTAAAACCCATTTGAATTAAAATAGTGTTGGAAATATAAATTTGACTTAGGACTTATTCGACTGATGACCTGTTAGTCAGAACGGAGCTTGGTGATAAGTCGAGGGGACCCTGTACTTGTTGTTGCCTTCAAATAATTTGAATGATAATCTCCCCAGGAATGCCTACAAATTATGTCTGTACTCATCTCACGACTCAACCATGTCTGGTCTCCTGGAAGTACTTGGTATCTGGGACAACAAATGGCCGCCATTTGCGGCAGACGTCCGGCTTGAACTCTACAAGGAGGTCAACGGTTCAGAGTTCTATGTCAAGGTTCTTTATTGTGGCAACGTAAGAAGTAATGTGAACTGTCTCCTAGTACTCCTGTCATAATATTACTATAGAAAGAGCCAACCACCTTTCTAGAGAGATAATGCAGAAGAAGACATGTTGTTATTCTTTCTATCCCAGGCACACATTTTAAATCCTTCTCCTCCTGACAGACATGGTAGTTCTTTCAGTTGCGAGGCAGGTGACTCAACGATGAGAAATTTGTTGTTTATTGGTCAATAAAATTATGAGAGCCTGTCCCTGTCAACAAATACACCTAAATGATCAAAAGTAAAACACATTTCTCACACCATTATTTCTTCTGGTTTATGGCCCTGGGCCCATAATTTTGTGTGGTCAACATAATATTGGCTGCATTTACTTCTAATGATATTTCCTGAAACACATTTTGGGCTGCGTTGACCTGAAAGTTCAGGTCAGTTATGAAATGAATATGCCTCAGTGTGGTTTCAGGCCCAAGTCTAATGGGCCTTTTGAAGTAGGGAACAAAACTTTCTACACAGTGGTGCAAGACAAGTTTTTTTAAAACCAATCAGCACTCAGTAGGTGATTTAGTGAATGTCACACCAACTACACTTTTACTATTCTTGAAACCGCCTGGTACCCATTTAAGCCTGAGTCAACATTAGTGAGACATTTAGAAGACTTTATGAGTAGACCAGTACCCCTCTTGGACACATTCAATGGAACGTATGCAGCAGAACCACCACCTCTGCTTTTGTGCAGCCTCTGTGGTGGACCCAAGAAGTAGAACAGGCATGGAGAGCAAGCAAAGTGATCAGCAGTTAAACAATTACAGAAGTATGAAAGGTACCTCTCAGGTTATAAGAGGATGTAGAGAAGCTAGAAAGAGTTTTAAACAAAAATAGAAGAGTTCAAATGGTTTGCAGCAGATGCAAAAAACAAAAAAGGTGAATAGGAACATTTTATGAGTGAAATTGAAGGTTATAAATCACTAGGTAGGTTTTGGAAACTTCACAAACAGATGCAAAGGAAAGATCAGCCTATCACAACAGGCATAATATAAATACTGATAATGGTATACCAGTAACAACAGGCAAAGAGAAAGTAGAAGCATTTTTGGAAAGATTGATAGCCCAAACTGATCATAATGATAGGGAACTTAGAAATTCAGTTAAAGATAATCTGTCTAATACTATAAATGAAAATTATTTTCAGGATATCATTAGGATGGAGGATATAAAATATATATTGCAGAATGCGAAAGACAGTGGCATTGATCATTCCAGACTCGGTGGTTTCAGGATTATCACCCTTCAAAATACTTTTGTCAAGGTCCTAGTGAAGATTATTGCCGTTAAACTACAAATGTTTTTGGAAAGGGAAAAGTTCCCTCCAAAAGGTTTGGGTAGCTACCTGCCAAAAAAAGATACTTGGTCAAATGCAGCTACCTTTGCTTTCGATGTTTTAAACAGGAGACCGTCGTTGCAGCACTTGATCTTGAGGATGTCTACAACAGAGTCGGATGTGATATTTTCATATCTATTCTCATGGAGAAGGGAATTTGTCTCTAGCTGGTGAACTGGATAGCAGCTGTCCTGCATTAACGTGTTGTTGTCCTTCGCCTGGGCACATGGACCTCAGAACCATGTAATATCGCCCCGGGACCATCCTAGGGTTCTCTAATTTCACCAGTGTTCTTCAATGTGTGTACACGCAAGATTGCAGATCTTGAAACACCAGGTGTTGAAAGAATATCCAGATTTGCAGATAATATTAATATTCTTGCATATAGGCAGGGGAGTGATAGGCAGTAGACAACCAAAGAGCTACAGGCAACTGTAGACACAGTGACTGAGTGGTGTGTAGAGTTGGATGCTGTCATCAGCTCAGAAAAGGCTGCTGTTTTATGGTCAACAGAATTGTGAGAGCTGATATTCCAAGCCTCACAGTCACAGACAGAAACATCACAAGAGAAAGCAAACTGAGGTACCTGGGTATCACTTTCAGTAGAAGCCATTCAGAGATCATGTGGAGGCAGTTGTGGTGAAATGCCAAAAAGGACTCAATGCTCTCAAGATTCTGGCAGCAATGGACATGGAACAAAGAATGTTGTTCACAGTGGTCCAGCGTGTGATTCTGTCAATGATAAATTATGGACTTGGAATGCTTATCATATCAAAGAGTTGGCTGAAAAACCTTAATCGCATACAAAATGAAGCCATGCAGGTAATTTTAGGATGTACAGGAGATACCCTGGTAGTATGTGTGCAACATATACTTGCACTGCAGATGGGCTGAAAGTTCTGCAAGTAAAATCATATCTCGGAGTAGCTGCAGACAAGAAGCACCTCCTGCATGAAGCCCTAGGTAGAGCTAAGGGTCACTGACTGTAAAGAGGAAGGTCTTGGAATTAGACATGTGTGCAGGAATGATAAATTTGGGCGAGGAGAGGAGTGGATCAAAGTGGCCAAGCAAGAATTAAATTTGTGTAGGTTTCTAATCACTTTAGGTCGTGAGTGCAGGGACTGGTCAGCTTGTGCTGCAGAATCAGAAGTTTAATAAATGATTCCTGACAATTCATGGCCAGGTGATGTGGTAATTTATATAGATGGCGCTATGTTGAGAGGTAGATGAAGTGCATTATGGGTTCAAAGCAAAAAAAAAAAAAGCTAATGGACATCGCTTAGTGCAGCAAAACCTGGAGAAAGGTGGAGACGGACAAGCTTTGTGCAGAGTGGCAAGATTGCTTCAGAGGTCCCAGGTAGTTAGCGTCCATTGGAGATTTTCTCCAGGTCATCCCGGTGTTTTGGGAAATGAGCAGGCAGATAAGGCTGGCAGGTTCTGCACCCTTTGATAGTGAACTTATGTATGGCAAGCTAAATGTTGTGAGGGGCCTTTGGGAGCGAGTGAACTGCACGGAGGCACAGTAGATCATTACAATCTGATGAGAATGGAGCTGCGAGGAGTTACCAGGGGATCTGGCCGACACTCAGGGAAAGGGGAATGGTTATACCGTCAGACAGTTACTGGTTACATCAGAATTGGAATGCTTCGCTTGCTGCTGAAGATGGAGACAAAGCACTTATAGTAATGTCCTGACTGCTGTGATGTTGATTATGATTCAAGATTTATTTTTATCCTAACTGTGTCAGCTGAAACATAATTACAAACAACTTCATTGTCCTTCCTTCAGGTTTGCCGGATTCGTGGTCAGAATTCTGAACTGCTGCCCTGGTCAGAATTTGTGAAGGCGGTCAGAAACTACCTCATCCGTGAAGACGAGTACTGGGAAATGTGTGCCTGTGATGTGGTTGAGCGATTTGCTAAAGGTGAGGTGGTGCCATTTCTATCACGCCTGAAAACTTTCATCATAATCCCAGTTGGGTCACTAACAGCTGTTGACTGCCTGGTCAGTTCCCTTTACCTCTGACCTTTCAGGATGATCGGTAGCTAATATTTCATGTTTACTCCTTTATGGGATCGGTCATCATGAGGCATCTTGGGCAGTATTTCAACCGTGGTGGAGCCCAATCCTCTCTAGGTCCCCATTTCTTTGTTGGTCTGAAACCTCATGGATAGTTAGTCAGCACCACAGGGGTGCAGGTTGCCTTATGTTGTCATGGGGCAGCAACAGGCTGCTAGTTTCATATTTCACACTCCTAACCAGGAGAGCTAGCTGCCCCTACAACTGCAAGCTAAGCTTCCCCCCCCCCCCCCCTCCACCACCACCCACCCATAACTCTATTGTGATAACTAGAGGAAGGGGAGAGGAAGTATTTTAAGAAGGAAGAGGAGAATGAGAAAGAAAAGAAGCATGTGAAAAAGAGCAGAAGAAAAGAAGCAGCAGCTTAGGAGGAGGCAAAAGGAGATGAAATGAAAAAGCAGAGACGGAGGAAGAAGAAGCAGTGGATAAGGAGGTGGAAGAAGGTACGACAGCAGAGCAGGAGAAAGAAGAAGAAGAGGTTTTTATCCAGTAAATGTCGAACAAATGAAAAACACAAATGCAAAACATGTTTGGTAAGTGTACCCAACACTGTACACTATGCTGCTAACAGAGAGGCAATCTGGCCTGTTCTAACGTCAGTCAAAACAAAACTGAATGGGACAGAAATAGCTTTCATCGAGGCTGCTGGCTTCCTAATAAATAGTTTTTCTAACAGAAGAATCGAAGAAGAAGAAGGTATAATTTGAGCAGGCTTATAACAGATGAAATTGTCACATTTGTTGCAGACTTGCTGAAACATGTGGAGGGAGAGGTGGTCAGACCGTTAGAAGTTCCTGCTGGGATGTAGTTGTTCCTTTGTGCTGTTGTTGGTTACATTTATGTAAGTAAGTATGTGTAGTTTGTCCTGTTGTTGGTTACATTTATGTAAGTGAATATGTATAGTTTGTCCTGTTGTTGGTTACATTTATGTAAGTGATTATGTGTAGTTTGTGCTGTTGTTGGTTACATTTATGTAAGTGAATATGTATAGTTTGTCCTGTTGTTGGTTACATTTATGTAAGTGATTATGTGTAGTTTGTGTTGTTGTTGGTTACATTTATGTAAGTAAGTATGTGTAGTTTGTGCTGTTGTTGGTTACATTTATGTAAGTGAATATGTATAGTTGGTCCTGTTGTTGGTTACATTTATGTAAGTAAATATGTGTAGTTTGTGTTGTTGTTGGTTACATTTATTAAGTAATTATGTTTAGTTTGTGCTGTTGTTGGTTACATTTATTAAGTAATTATGTTTAGTTTGTGCTGTTGTTGGTTACATTTAAGTAGGTAATTATGTGTAGTTTGTGTTGTTGTTGGTTACATTTATGTAAGTGAATATGTGTAGTTTGTGTTGTTGTTGGTTACATTTATGTAAGTAAGTATGTGTAGTTTGTGCTGTTGTTGGTTACATTTATGTAAGTGAATATGTGTAGTTTGTGTTGTTGTTGGTTACATTTATGTAAGTGATTATGTGTAGTTTGTGTTGTTGTTGGTTACATTTATGTAAGTGAATATGTGTAGTTTGTCCTGTTGTTGGTTACATTTATGTAAGTGATTATGTGTAGTTTGTGTTGTTGTTGGTTACATTTATGTAAGTGATTATGTGTAGTTTGTGTTGTTGTTGGTTACATTTATGTAAGTGAATATGTGTAGTTTGTGCTGTTGTTGGTTACATTTATGTAAGTGAATATGTGTAGTTTGTGCTGTTGTTGGTTACATTTATGTAAGTGAATATGTGTAGTTTGTGCTGTTGTTGGTTACATTTATGTAAGTGATTATGTGTAGTTTGTGTTGTTGTTGGTTACATTTATGTAAGTGAAAATGTGTAGTTTGTGCTGTTGTTGGTTACATTTATGTAAGTGAATATGTATAGTTTGTGCTGTTGTTGGTTACATTTATGTAAGTGAATATGTGTAGTTTGTGCTGTTTTTGGTTACATTTATGTAAGTGAATATGTATAGTTTGTGTTGTTGTTGATTGCGTTTATGTAAGTAGATATGTGTAGTTTGTGTTGTTGTTGGTTACATTTATGTAAGTGAATATGTGTAGTTTGTGCTGTTGTTGGTTACATTTATGTAAGTTAAACTGTAGCTATTAGTTGTTACATTTATATGAGCGAATCTTGTTACATTTATATGAGTGAATCTTTGTAGTTGTTGTTGTTTACATTTAGGTAAGTGAGTCTTTGTAGCTTGTGCTGTTGGCTTCATTTACCCATCATCTTTCTCATAAAGTATTATTATTCCCTTTCTATTATTATCCATATAAAAACGTTTACAATCATTATTAAACCTTATTTCAACATGATGTATCATCATAATCATCATTATCATTGTCATCATCATCATCGTCGTTATCATCATCATCATCATTATCATAATCCTCATCATCGTTGTTGTCATCAATATCGTCATCTTCCTCCTTATAATCACCATCATCACCAGTATATTGTTAGTTGCGAACAAAAATAACAAATATAAAAATCATCATTTATGCTACGCTTACATATTTCATTCATTCAACAATTCAGTTTCCTGTAGTTCAAGATTTTCCTACGTTATACATACACATAAAAAACCTTGAATCTATGCTTATAATCTGGACATCACGTCTGGTAGATGGTTTTCAATGCCCTTAATGTGTTCTATTTTAAACTGAAATTGGGATATTAATAACGCCCATCTGTATACTCTTGCGTTACTAGTTGCATCTATTGTTAACAATTTTGTCAGTCAGAATACTAAATTCCTTTCCTATTAAGTATTTTTGGAACTTTTTAAGGCTGATCACAAGAGCAAGAGCCTCTTTTTCGAAAGTACTGTAATTCTGTTGAGTGGAATTAAGTTTCTGTGAAAGGTACAGAACCGGAAGAAGAGTACCGGAATGACTTTGAGCCAACATCGCGGCTATGGTATGACCAGTAGCGTCAGTTTGTTGGTAGAAAGTTCTAGATAGATCATGTTGTCTCAAGATTGGTGGAGTTGCAAACAAAGACTTAATTTTTTTGTACGATTCTGTCATGAGTTTCTATCCAATCCAATCCAATTCTGGATTATCTCTTCTGATGAAGGAATGGGTTCTGATTCCAAATGGGTTACGGCATTTAATTTTCTGTAATCTACGCACAATTTCAAATTGACATCCTTCTTTTTTTACAATTACCATTGGCGAGCTGTACTCTGATGTTGAGTCTTCAATTATACCGTCTGCTTGTAGTTGTTTTAGTTTATCTACAACTTTTCAACATAATGAATGGGAATAGCATAGTTTCTAGCTTTTACCGGAATGGTTGAGTTAACTGGATGTCAAATTGGATTACATCCAGTTGATCTCATCCTTCACTGATGGTGTTGGTATTTCATCATTAATTGCGTCAGTTATTTGTTCATTGATCATGTTACAAGAATTGACATTTTCTATCATATCATTACTAACATTTCTTCTAAAATACCTTTTCATCATGTTAACACGAAAAATTTTCAATTTCCCTTTATAGTCAATTTCATAGTCAACATTTGAAATTTTTCTTACTACCATATTTGGGCCACGCCATTCGATGCACAGTTTGCCTAAATTTTTTGGTAGCAATATAAGCACTTCTTGACCGGGTTCAAAAGTCATCAGTTTAGTATTTCTGTTCGCATACATTCGCTGCTTATGTGTTGCGTGGACATTTGCCTTTTTTGCTTCTTTATACGCTACTATTATTTTGTGTCTTAGATTAATGACTGTTTCATAATCTTGTGCTTTTGATTCAGACTCAGTTTTTCCTATGATCATGTTCTTATATACTTCTAATGGTCCTCTTGGATTTGCGCCGTAAATAATTTTAAAGGGGGACATGCCAGTGGAACTATGGGGGATCTCTCTATAAGCAAATAATATTGTTGGTATTAAAGTGTCCCAATTGGACGGATTTTCGTAGGTTATTCTAGCCAACATCGTTTTTATAGATTTTTTTAGGTTTTCCGCCAGACCATTAGCCTGTGCATGGTATGGGAATGTAAAATTTTGGCGTATTCCTAACAGTTTGGTGACAGCTTTGGTTATGGCTGAGGTGAACTGGGTACCCCTATCTGACACTATTACTTCCAGGAAGCCTGTTCTGGAGAAAAGTAGCAACAGTGCTTCTTGTATGTGGTCACTGGTAATAAATTTGAGTGGTATGCGTTCTGGCCATTTGCTTCCTACGTCTATCATGGTGAGAATAAATCTATTCCCTTTCGCCATGTAACAAGCAAGGGTCCCATAATGTCTACTGCGACTTGTTCAAACAGTCTGTTGGCAGTAAGGCCGGGTTGAACAGGGACTTTTGGGTTTACCCTTTTTTGTGTAGTTTTCAAACAGATATCTCAAGATTTTACGTATCTTTTTATGTCTTTTGCAAAACCGCGCCAAAAAAATGTAGATAGATTGACATTGGTCAAGATCTACAGCTGATATTGTGTCCAAGTATCTGAGGTAGCATACAGCCAGCAGAATAGGGTAATATGAACATCTGTGACACAGAGTGAGTGACTGTCCACAACTTTACGTGCAGCAAAACTGCTAATGGAACGAAAGTTGCATAAAACAGTTTCCTGTGAATTCATACAGTTCTTTGGATTAAACGAATAGACTGTCTCCAGAAATTATTCAAAGTGACATGCTTTTATTCGCTGAATCACAACATTTCGTAGGCACACATTCTCCCATCCTCGTGTTCGTTCTGCTTGGCTGATTCTGGCGGCCTGGTCTAACTTCTCACACACTACATCGATCCATCAGCGTCTTTGGAATCATCCATCCATCCTTCAACGAAACCTTGTACTCGGTATTAAGATGTAGGAAACATTCATATCTCCTCTCGGAACATAACACGTATTCAAAATTTCTTCATTCTCCTCATGTGTCCCTTCATACTACCTCTCACAACCAGGTCCGAACTTGACTGTCTTTACTACCGTCTCTCGGTTCACGTCTTTCGTTCCACTCTCACGCTTTTCTTGTATCTCTTATTTTGCTCAGCATGGGATACACGAGACCCACTTATCTCATTTTTCTCTTGTATCACTGGTCCTCTGACCTTGTCCTCCCCATCGGGAACTCTCTGGGATTTCCCCTGGAATTCACAACATTACATATGTAGTTTGCACTGCTGTTTATTGCATTTAGGTAAGTGAATCTATGTAGTTTGCACAGCTGTTTATTGCAGTTGAGGTAAGTCAGTTTGTAGATGATAGTATGCCTAATCTATTTGGATAAGGTAGCACACTACTCTTCTGCTTCCATTTATTCTATCCCCTCTTCCCCCCCCCCCCCCTTTCCTCAACCACCTCACACAGAATCATATTCTTTTCCACCCCATGCAGCTAGCCACTGTCTTCCCCACCTTAATAACCTCATTCTGTTAATTTCATCTGCACATGTTTTTTCTTCTCTCCTTTTATTTCTTTGGTAATGTGGGTTGCAGTGAATTTACATTCTAGTAATGCTATTACCAGATTTTCTCAGTGCTACTGTTTTTTTTTTCTTTCTGTTTTTATTCAAGGATTATGCTGGGAATGATATAGGCTTTTCACTGGTTTCCAAATGGGACAGTAAAGAACATTTTCTGGAGCTTCACTTTTCACAGGAATGAAGCAGTTATAGGGCAACCCGTCACTGATGGAACCTTGGCTAACTGACAAACTACATTTATGTTTGAATTGGTTGTAATGAGACAGTGGATTACAATGTGATCATGAAGTACCAATTCTACTGTACTTTTTTTATTTCCAGACCGAAAAGGAAGTGCCGAGTGATCTATAAAACTATCAAACTGCCACCATTG